CAACAGGGCCTCAGGACCAGCATGTGGCATGGTGGTTCAAGTGGCTAGATTCTACAAGGCTAATAGCAGTTTGAGTTCTGAACCTGGTGGCTTGAAAAAAACACTATGTGTGTGCATCCATTCCCAAAATCCTCAAAGAATGGAGAAGGGATTGCAGCATAGCCATTCCCCCTGGGGGATGGTTTATCACTTTCCCTCTCTATCTCTGCTTCTCTTCAGCAAGCACAGGTACCTTATAGCAAATTTTTAAGAAAGGAAAAAGAAAAGAAACAGTCTCATTTCAAACTACTGATCCTTCTCTCAGCCACCAGAGTAGCTGGGATTTTATAAGCATGCCACTGTGCCCAACTGCCAGTTTTGAGTCTACCAAATTTTGAGATTGTCACCCTACCATTTGGAATGTTTTCTTTTATTCAACTAACTGCTCAAGACTGACAGGTTTGGGAATTTTCCCAGATCACAACAGAGGGAGGAGCACAGGCTTAAGTATAACACTAGGATTTAGTCTCTAATATGAACAAGATAAAGGGGAGTGAGTCGATGAATTCTTAGCAAGTAGCAATAATGACACAGAAGTATTTTTAGTAGAAATATCTTGCATAAGTGAACTAGAAGTTTGTGGTTGTAGAACAGAAATTTAAATTCAAGATTTGTAAGTGATTATGGCAAGGAGTATGGTTCTCATTTATGGAGAACAGATTTATGGAGAATTGAAAAGAGAAACACCTATAATGAGCAAGGTCATTGGGGAAAACAGGTGATCTTTTCCACAGAGTGGTACTTTTGGAAAGTACAAATGATAAACAAGTAAATATTAAAATTTAACACTACTGTAAAGAATGAATATGCCAATCTTACATATCTCAAAAAAGGAAACTAGGAGAATGAAAATCAAAGGTGCACAACATGATGTTCTTTGTTGATAGATAATATCCTTGATTTATTACACACTGCATGCTGTGAAAACCCATATTGTACCTCTTAAAAATGTACATAAATAACAATTACAAAATAATAATAAAAAAACACTACCATAAAGAATGGACATGTGAAGCTTATTTTTTCATTTGCCAAAGGGCACATGTGATCACCAGAGAAAGACAGAGAGGGAGAAGAGGAAAGGGTGAGAGAAAGAAAGAACCCCACAATGGGGTATGGTCACAATACAATCCCTTTTCTTACACTTCACCCTACTACGATTTTGGGCATGCACACACACCCAGGCCTGATGTTATTTTTTTTAAGCTGCCAGGGATAAGACCTGAACTGCCCAATCAGCCATGTGGGAACCTGGCTCCCTTAATATTAGGTCATGGGGCCAGTCCATGTGAAACTATTATACGGTGATTTCCAAAATGATTCTAACGAGGTGACATTTTTCTTTTTTGGAGAGGTTTTTGCTATAGGGCGCATGCGCTCGCCAGAAAGCGAGAATATCACCCCCCGGGGGGATGGCCACACCGCAATCCCTTCTCCTTCATTCTTCTCTCAGGATCTTGGGCATACACGCACGTGTTCAGCCTGAGTTTAATCCATCGGTCTGGGACTCGAACCGCAGTCGGTTACATGGGAGTTCAGCGACATAGCCATTACGCTAACTGCTGGTCCCATGAGGTGACATTTTTAAGCTGTGAACTGATGGATAAAGAGTCAGTCACACAATTATGAGAAATAAACATTCCAGACAGAATATATCTAAAAAGGTTTTGAAGTAGGGGGAAGTGAGGGAAAATGGGATTGTGGTACAACCATACCCCGTTGGTTCTATGTGTCTGTCTCTTGCACACACAAGCGTGCACACGTTCTCTGGCTAAATATAAATATATATATATTATAAATAAAATGTATATATTAAATATATATTAACTTATATATATATTTAAAATATACTTTTTATTTTTTTTACTGAATCTAGCATTTGAAAGAACATTTCATAGTCTTTAATTCCATTCACAGTAAAGGATCTAGATCATTACAACCACCCCTGAGTTCCACTCTAGGGTCTGGACTTTGCTAAATCAAGGGCAGGGATTTCTGTCTGTGTGTGACACTGTTAATCTGATAGCCAAGGCTAGCCAGGTTAATAAAAAGAATGTTTGGAGTGACTGACATGAACTTTGAGCAAGTAAGGAGAATGGTTTTTAATCAGCATTCAATAACTATTCAAATACAGGGTGATATTCAAAACACTAACCTCCAATACAGTAGGGGACTCAATTAAAATGGATGAATTGACCATCAGAAATATCACCATTTGTAAACAATTGGAATAGTTGAAGTATCACACACCTGTTGATTATCAACTCCAGCCTGAATGAATGCCATTTTAGATCAGAATCTCCCCTCCTTTTTCCTTAGATTTTTGTTATGGGATGCATGCACTCACCAGAGTGACAGAAAGACAGAAAGCAAGAAATCATTCCCTGGGGGGATGGCCACACCACAACCCTTCTCCTTCACTCTCCTCTCAGGATTTTGGGCATGCACACACAGGAGCCCAGTGTGTTTTAAGCCACCGAGTCTGGGACTCGAACCATGGGAGTCCAGTGACATAACCATTACACCATCTGCTGATCCCCCCAAAGTTTGTTTCTTAGAATACTAATTAATGGCTATGTCACTGGACTTCCATGAAGTCGACTGTGGTTTGGGTCCTGGACCCTGTGGCTTAAACTCATGCTGGGTGTGTTTGTGTGCGTGCCCAAGAACCCGAGAGGAGAATGGAGAAGGAACTGAGATGTGGCCATCCCCCCTCGGGGGTGATTTTTCACTTTCTGGCGAGCGCACATGCCCTATAGCAAAAACCTCTCCAAAAAAAATAAATAAATAAATAAAATAAAGAACACTAATTGAGATAAATGTAAGCATTAACAATAACAAATATTTCCATGGTCAACTAAACCTGGACAATTCCACTTTATTAATGAAAATGTTTCTTTATAGTAGGCCTTTTCAGTCTTCAATAAGCTAGTGTACATTGGATTCTTTTAGACCCAGTATAACATGTGGTTTACAAAATGGCTTTGATTAGGAGATGGTGTAATGGTTATATCACTGGACTCCCATGTAGTCAACCGTGGTTTGAGTGCTGGACCTGGCAGCTTAAAGCTCACACCAGGCATGTGTGCGTGTGCACCCAAAATCCTGAGAGGAGAACAGAGAAGACACTGCGGCATGGCCATCCCCCCTGGGGGGTGAATTCTTAACTCTCTCTGGCGAGCGTGTGTGCCCTATAGGACAAATCTCTCTCTCTCTCTCTAAAATAAAAATAAAAATAAAAATAAATAAAGCCTTTGATCACAGAACTTACCTTCTACCCTTCTAGTATCTTTCCACAATAAACATTTCGAAAAAGGCTTTAGGCTACATTAGTTGTTGGCATCTTTCATAGCCATTAGTGCCTTTTCCAACTTCAATAACATGATCTTGGGAACCAGCAGTTAGCGTAATGGCTATGTCGCTGGACTCCCACGTAGTCGACCGCAGTTCGCGTCCTGGACCTGGTAGCTTAAAACTCACGCCAGGCGCGTGTGCGTGCATGCCCAAGATCCCGAGAGGAGAATGGAGAAGAAGGGATTGCGGCGTGACTATCCCCCCTGGGGGGTGATTTCTCGCTTTCTGTCTATGTCTCTGTCTGTCTGTCTGGCGAGGGCACGTGCCCTATAGTGAAAATCTCTACAAAAAAAAAAAAAAAAAAAAAAAAAAAAACCACAATCTTCTGGCTCAATTTTTTTTCCCCAAACTATTTCAAATATCTCTGTGATTAATCTCCAACTTAACCAATCTATCCTGCACAAACTGCCAATTATCTTTCAAAACTAGTACCTGATTAAATTGTTGAAACTGTATTTGGTAATTACTTTAAAAAGTTAAAAAAAGACAAAACATGGCATACAAGAACCTCTGGAATTCCTTGCCCCTTCTGATTTTCTGATCAACACTATTCATCTCTCAAGACTCATCCATCTTCTCTACAAAGACTTTCACAACCATATAACTTATTTTTCCCAGAAAAATAAGGAAGGCATTCTCTCTGATGTCTAGCTAATTTATAATAAACTTAACACTATTTCACATAAGATGCATATTTTGAATAACATAATTCTGATCTGCAATATTCAAATTCCTTGGGCTTAGAAGAAAAAAAGATTTTGGACCAGCAGTTAGCGTAATGGCTATGTCGCTGGACTCCCATGTAGTCGACTGCAGTTCGAGTCCCGGACCTGGCAGCTTAAACTCACGCCGGGCGCGTGTGCGTGTGTGCCCAAGATCCCGGGAGGAGAATGGAGGAAAAGGGATTGTGGTGTGGCCATCCCCCCAGGGGGTGATTTCTCGCTTTCTGTCTCTCTGTCTCTGTCTGTCTGGCGAGCGCACGCGCCCTATAGCAAAAACCTCTCAAAAAAAAAAAAAAGAAAAAAGATTTACTTTTAAATGATGAAATCTTATGCAAACCTAGGCTGTAATAAGAAAATATTTCAAAAACAATAGAGTAAAAGCATACCATGAAAAATACTTTGATTATTTTTTAATACTTAGGCATTACATTCCATATCAAGTTTTACCAACATGCTATTCTATAAATTCATATTTATTGTATACCATAATTTGACTTTTGTTTCATGCTAAAAAGCCCACTCACCCATAATTACTTTTGGCATACATTACCTGAAAAACATAATATTTCATTCCATGTTGGCAAATTCTTTCCTCTGATAGAAGAGCAATTACAGAAATGTCTAGTGGTCAATCTTATGTTAATGAGCAAAAAACACAAGCCCAATACACTGGCATTTTCATCCGACAGTGGCTCATCACTACAATGATCAGAAACAAACCTACGTGTCTGTGTACCACGGTGGGTGGTTTTGCCACATGCCCACCTCGAAGAGCTAGGCTAACTTCTAAGAAAACTCTATGGAAACATTCGATTGTTAACAAAAATTTAATATTAAAATTATTCAAAAGTAATTATTGTTAATTTAGGAAAAAAAAAACATGTATTAATCACCCATAAAAACAACTTTTATTTTAATAAATAACAGTGGGCTTACGAAAGGGTAGGGATTTTAATGTGTCAAGTTTTACGCATATAGGTCATGAACCTTAAGGAGGTGAAACCAACTATTCAATATAACCCATTAAGTCCTAAAAATAAAACTATAATACTTTAATAATAAAACTTAAAAAAATATCTTCCAAATGAAAATAGTTCACTCCTTGACCATGCTTCTTTATTCAGCGTACCAGCAATATCAGTTAACGTTAAGTGCTTCATTTTTCCTGCAAACCTGGTGTTGCACAGGGAATATACACATTTTTGTATCATCACAATATGCAATACTTCAGGCTAATAATATTGTGAGTGAGTGCAACTGTTTTATAACAAATGCAAAGTTAAAAAAAATCAATGCTACTATTTATGGCAAACAAAAACAAAAGTATTGAAAGGATATTTCCTTTTGTTTTCAGTACTGACTTTAGCTGGACTTTAAGGTCATCATCCTTCCTGAAATAACCTCAACCTCTGGCCATGAATCCACAGTATAAATATGGTGAATAAATCTAAACTATAAGCACTAACTATCTACTAAATAACCAAAATAATTATAACAACTAATACTGCTCTCGAAGACCCATCTAATGAGTAAAGTATCATTAGATATGGCAAGAAAATACAGACAAATCTGTACACTCTAACATCTATAAACAGTAAAATCAAAACATCCAACTTCCTTATAGAAAGTGTTTTATCTATGTAATTATAAATGTTAAGGACTCTTGCATTTTATAAACACAAGATGGGCTCACTTTGATGATACCAATTTTAAGATTTATAAAAATGTTTAAAAAAATTTTTTCCACAAAAGTTTATACAGTTTAAAGCTATACACCAATCTATAAATCTCAGAAAATGGGGAAAAAAAAATCTTTATAAGATCACATGTATAAAACAGGAAATGAAATGTGATTTTATTTAAGGCAATACTGGGCTACTTCACAAATCACCACCTCAAATATTTACACTGCTCCACACTACTAGTTTCTATCACATTCACAAAGAATTTTTTTTAATACCAAATGTTTAAAATCTTCAATGTAGTAAATTCTTTATTCACATTTCCATTATATTTCATGAACTCATAGTAACTATATCCAATTAAAAGCAATGAAGAGAAAAAAAAAAAAAAAACACCCCACTGTAGCTATAGGAAACCACTAATGGATCTGCTTTCATTTCACACGAATACCACCCAAAAATCCCGGATGGCAAATTTACAAAGCAGAGCAAAGTGTGGCTATAAATGTGCCTACTTTGTGAAAAGTAATCTTGAGATCTCGTAAATGTTTCATGTAAAAAATCAATGAACTATGACAGTTTCTAGTTTTAGTTCAAAAGTTCTTAATTTAAAACAATAAAAGAACAGTTTTAAAAACTTGATCACTTAGTTAAAAATTAAAATTCCAAATATAAATGTGTCATTTAATAGTTTAGACTTACAGACTGCTGGTGGCAGCACATGATTTACAATAATAAATATATACAAAAAAGGTATCTACAAATAAGGAGTACTGTTATACATGAGCAGTGACCTGGTGAAACATACCAATCACACAGATAATTCAGTTTAGTTCATGAAAAGGGCAATTGGGTGATAGAAATTTGAGGTTTAGCGCAACTATTTACAATAACTGAAGTAATGATTCTGTTCATCAAGTCCCATAGGGATAAAAAAAAGTTTTACATGACAACTGTCATGTTTTTTTCTCTTTTTTGGCCAGGTTAATTCATGTCAACAACAAAAAACAAACAAACAAACAAACAAAACAAGAAAAAAAAAGAAAAAGTTTCAAGATTCTAGCATGCTTGATGGCTTCCTATTTAAAATAAAATGGTCAATGACTTTTTTATAGTACATTAGTCATCAGTACTGTCCTCTGCCTGTGGTTTTACCTATACTGATTTCTTTTATAACAGACATATCTGGATCATTTGAATGTACTTCAAGTTTTTTCAGACTGACGGTAGGTTTCATTTCCTGAAGCTGCTTTAAGACAAGCTCAGTACAATCTTTAAGAGTCTTGTCTAAAACAATTTTTACATTATCACTGCACTGAAGCTGTGATGGGTTGGCAAACTGTACAAAGGTTTCACTTTCTTTACAAGAACATATATGATTTCCACTAGTTACAGCAGTCTTGTCAGTATTTTTTCTTGAATTTGAATGGGATCCTTTTTTAGTTCCACTATTTGGATGGTCTTTGTCAGTATTTTTCTTCTGCTTAACTGCAGACTCTTCAAGAAACTTCAGAAATGACACTTCAAATCCCATTGGTTTAAATGAGCTCCAGTCAAAAGATGCAGGATTCTCTTCACTGGTTTGAATTGCAACAGCAGTTTCTTCTTCTTGCCGCATGTTGCTTAACTCAACTGCTGTTGTGGGTTCAGCTTTTTCAACTTTCCTTTTTTTATTCTGTGAGATATTTTTTTCTTTATTAACTCTCTTTAAATTATTCACTTTTGGTCTTTCTGACTGGCAGGGGTTATTTTCCTGAAAATCATTACTTACATTTGCAGTGGTATTAGCTTGGGTTTCCAGACTTGTGCTGTCTTCATTAATTAATTTTGTAATAAATAATTCTGTCAGCTCATCCACTTCATCTTTTTCATTTTTTTCAACTTCCTTTTGTGGAACTGTACTTGTTTTTGAGTTATCAGCGCTCTCTAATACACCTGTGTCAGAATCTCTCACATCGCTCTTACCACCTTCTTGCTCTGAAATTTCCTTTCCTTGTGAGTCGCAACAATGTTTGAAGACAATAAGAAGATTGCGGTGCTGTGATGTAAATGCCTTAGATAATTTATGGCACTTATAATGTCTAATTATATTGCTTTCACTTGTAACAACTGAAGTACATCCCTTTATCATACATGGGTACTGGGTTACAAATCTGCTTGTGCACTCGGACAAGGCGTCATTTCTAGCCTTTATAGAATATACATGCTTTCCACGTTTCAGAGAATAAGGTTTATTTTCTTCGATCTGAACAATTTTTGTATTCTTGTTTTCTAAATTATTTTTTTTCTTTCGTTTGGTCTTCGGTATTTTGATTCCTTCTTTTCCAGATCTGGGTTTTGTTCCCCGATGTTTAGACTTTGGTTTTTCTTGATTTGCCTTGCTTGACACATTTTCCTGGCCAGGTGTTAATCTCCTTGGACGAATCAAATGAGCTTTATGTTTGTCATTATGCTTATTAAAAATGTGCCGGAGGAGATTAGATCGAGTTGCATATATACGGTCACAGCCTTCACAATCACACTTGAATATGCCATCTTCTTCTGTCCTACCTGTCCTAATCCCAATTCCATGAGCTGCCTCAAGATGAACTACATAGTTCAAATATGTAGTAAATGAAGATTTACACTCTAATTGGTCACATGGAAATTTTCCAACGTCCACAGAAGCAGTCATACTTTCAATTTCCTCAGGAGTCATTTCATGAAGTTTCATGTAGTGTTGTATTAGCCCAGTAATTGCTTGAAAAATTCGAGAACAGTCACTCACCTGACATCGAAATTCTTTCAAAGTTTGTTTAGTTTCAGTTTCTTCACTTTCTTTGCCAACTTCACTTTCCTCTTCAACCTCTGCAGAGAATGCAGGGAGATCTGACTTGTGCACAGCCTGGTAATGAAGAATTAAGTTTTGTTGTATTGTAAAGGCGGCAAAACAGCCCTGGTGAACACATCGATAAGGTCTATAGGGGCTGTATCTTGCTGGGAATTCGAGAGACTGGGAAATTGGCTTCTTTCGTTTTTTATCCTCCTTTTCTTTCTTATGCCTCCTACTTTTGCGTCCTTTGGTTTGGACATTAGTGAGAGAATTTGTATTATGTTGTTCTGAAGTAACAGTGATCACTTGTGAAGAACTTTCTGATTTTTCAGGACTTTTTTTTTCTGTAAGTTGCTTTTCAGGGGTCACTGCTACATTACTGAGACCATTTTCTGTCTCTGCTCTCAATTCTAATGCAGGCTGGAGTTCCTTTTTATTTTCTTCGGGCACAGTTAGTTGTTTTTTGACTTGCGTAATTCGTGGGGCTGACAAGTTTTCATTCTGAGATTTTCTTCCATAAGGCCTTTTTATTTTTAACTTCACCATTTCTTCTGTCGTAAAATGATGTACTAGCTGACAGTGTGCCCGGAGATTAGAATTTCTTGTAAATGTTTTTGTACATGTAGGTACTACGCATTTAAATGGAGCAAATTTTAGCTGATTCTTCTTAATTTCAAGAATCATCTCTGGAGTGTACTGGTGAATTTTCCCATAGTGCTTAAACAGTGCATCCTTTGTCATAGCACTATAGGTGCAGCCTTGGTTTTGACACACAAAGGGTTTATTAACCTTGTCACTAAGCTGAATGTTTACTATTTCAGAAACTGGCTGAACAACTGTGACACTTGGAATTGGTTTAACAGGAGTGGCAGCTGGTGTCACTGATGTATTTATTAGTACACACTGGGATGATGGACTTGACAGGTCATTTTCTAATTTTAATTTCTGTAAGCCTTCTAAAATTTCCTGTATCTGATCCTCCTTATGTAATACTTCAGACTGAGGAATGTTGCTTTTGGTTGGCATGACACTTACGAAGGAGGAAAACTGAGAAGTGTCAGGTAATTTGTTATTTTGTACAGTGTTTACTGAAGGAAGCTGAATGTTATAATTTATCTGAGCATTTTGTGATGTTTCACCAGAACCCTGAGATCCACTTTTCACCTCAAGTATTTGAGAGTTCATAGCAGTTTTAATAATTTCAAGCGTCTTTTCAAAGTTCTGTATAACATTGTCTTCAGAAATCTGTAAATCAGAATTTACTGAAGTTGTGCACGAGTTCAAAGCCATCATTTGTGAATCACCATTTTCAGTTTTTAACGTTAAAGGGGCTAACACTGCATGGGACTCAAGATTGTTTTTGAAGTTCTCTTTTACATCAGTCATAAATAACTGATTGTCAACATGATTTAATTTCTGTGTTAGGTTTTCTACCAGAGCCTGAGGTTCACAATTTGAAATCACATTTGAATGAAGGTTAGTAGCTGGGATCTCGATACTCTTTGCTATGAGTCCCATTGTTGTTAAGTCACTTGTTACCAAATTTTGGGAGGCATTAGGTGCAATTAGCGGGGGAGCAACTTTCTTTCTTCTCTTAGAAGCACTGTTACCCTTTTTATTTAAATTACTGGATCTTGTGTTTTGAGGACCATTTATAACCGAAACACGTGAACTGTTGCTGGTAAAATTCTGTGATGGCCCATTGGAATTAGGGAATGATGGAGAACACAAACCATTTTCAACAGTCTTCAGTAGTAAGTCACTTGCTGGAAAAACAGGCAAACTGCTACATTCCTCAATAGTGGAAGTTTTGGAGTTTGGTGTCCTGGTCTGGTTTGTGAGCAGAGTGCCTGGGTGGCACACCGTCTGCAACACGGGTGGCACGGTTGCATTTGGCATCACCGCTGCACTTCCTGGTGCTGAGTCTGAGACACAGCCTGCTGGAACAACATGAGAGAGAATCTCAGCACCCTCAAATGTACTGGGAATGCCAGCCGTTTCCAAGGCCTGCTTAATAATTTCACTCCCTTCTTGACTAACACTTGTATTAAAGTTAGTCACGCCAGGTCGAGGAAATGTATTTGGTAAAAATGATGACCGATTTTCAGCAGCAAGAAGCTGCAGGAATGATGGGTCTTTAAAACATGTTTCTGGATTGAAGGTAGATTGTTGCTGCTGCTGTAAATTTACTGCATTTGTGGAGAGAATCATGCTGGCAAGAAGAGAAGGCTGTCCATTATTCTGTAAAAGTTCTTGGGCAATTTCTGCTCCATCCAGTGGTTTACAGTAAGATCGCTTAGACAAGTGTCCACCCAGTGACCTGGGATTAGTAAAAGCCCTGTAACACCTGCTACAAATGAATTTCCCATCTCTGATGATTGCAGGCCATTTAGCTCTTTTGTTGTGCTTGGGTTTTCTTTCCTTCCCATTTGGGCCCCGCCCGCGGTCTTTTTTGACTTTTTCAGGTGCAGACAGTTGGGCACTGGTGCTATTGAAGTCATTTGCAACATTTACTTGTGAAGGAAAGACCGTATTGTCACCATTACCCCCCTTCAGAAAGGAAGAATTAGGGTTTCCTTCAATCTGTGAGGAATAATGATTTGTATTATTTTCCAGTTGGGAAAAAACAGAATTAGTCCCACTGTCTGCTGGTGAAGGAAAGAGAGACATTGAACTACTTTCCGCAGGTAAAGGAAGGAAAGGATCTGAGCCACTGTCAATATTCAAAGGCAAAACTGTTTTGGTTAGATCTTCCATTTGTGTTGGCAAGGCAGGAGTAGATAAATTTTCCATCTGGGAACATAACATACCACTTTGTTCATTTTTATCCTGAGAAGGTATATTTGGAGTTATGACACTTTCCACGGAGGGCAAGAGTGGAGCTGACACGCCTGCTAAGTGAGCTGGAAAAAGGGAAGGTGAGACATGCTGCATCTGGGCTGAACAAGCGGGATTCTCACTGGCTTTGGTCTGGGGTGTGAAAAATGTGTTAGCAGAGCTGCTCACCTGTGATGGCAAAAAATAAACAAACTTTCCATTATTTGGTGTAGTTAGGTTGTTGGATTTCTGACCTTTTTTACTTTTGCGCTGCATTTTAAATGCAGCATATTGGTCAGGGTGTGCTGTCTTCATGTGTTTCCCAATACTCTGTGAAGAATTATAGGTTCGAGTACATCCCTCAACCTGGCAGTTGAATTTCTGAACTGGAGTTTTTGGAGGCACTGATGGAGTTCCTAATGAACTACTTAGGGTGGGTTGTGGTGGAACGAATGTGATACTTTCTAATGTCTTAAGAGGTAAATTATAAAGACTGGATGATGTTTTAACATTACCTTCACATTCAAACTTGGAAGTTGGTAAACTGTTCTGAAATCCTGCCTGATTTTGCACAGAAAAGGTCATCAGGCTGTTCACTTGTCTTTCTAAGTTCTGTGGGGTAAGGTCACCTACTTTGAGAGTTTCTGAATTTACTAAAGAATTTGGAGTATTCTGGGATTCATGAAAGCAATCCTGTTCTTTTTTCTCTTGGAAACTGGGATGACACAAATCATTACAATTTTCAGCTGGTGTATGTAGGTTTGTGATCAGTGATTCACCAGTGCCTTCCACGATTGAGTTTTCTTGCTTTCTGAAGCTATCCTCCATCCCTTGGTTGAGAGATACCTTAATGGACACAGCTACTTCACTGGCCTGAAGCAGAGTAGCAGCAGCAGGATTTTCCAGGCCCTCTGATAATGGCCCATTGGCTTGGCGGAGCTCAGAGGCAGGTATCTGGTCTTGCTTGGCCACAGCTGATTCTGCTTTGCTTTTATCCCAGGCATCCCTTCTATCTGCTTGTAAGCTATTCTCACCATTATTTTCTGGAGGAAGCACAGATCTTTCTTTCTCAGTACTTTCTTCTGTGTTCTGATTGACTTTGGAAGGCTCAACAGAATCTCCGGGCGATTTAAGTTGGTCTTCAGGAGGCAGCACTTTTTCAGGAGTATTGTGATCATCCAAATGCTTTTCCAGCTCACTCTGAGAACGATAAACTTTACCACAACCTGTGAACTTACAAGTGTAGGTATTATAATGTTGTGCTTCATGATCATATAGTAAATAAGCTTCTGAAAAAATTCTGCCACACTTAGGAAACATACACTTTGCTCTGAAGACTTGATGCTCCTTTCGGTGGGTTAGAAGCTCTGCGTAACTATTAAAACCGGCCTTACACTTCATCTGTATGCAGATATAAGGTTTACTGCCACAGTGCATTTGTAAGTGATCGTTGAGATGAGTAACACTTACAAAATGCCGTCTACAGTACTGGCAAATAACTTTTTTGCTTTGCATTTCAAGAAAGCGCTTGGCATCTTCATTATCTTTATGCCCCTTTACATGAGCAATTAAGTTTTTAAAGTACTTAAATCCCTTTTTACAAAAAGTCACAGGGCAATTAAATTCATTAACAGGTATTGGTTTCTGGACTGGGATCACTTCTGGCTCATAAGATTTATCCTTGTCATCATTCTCATCATCTGAACCATCATTGTCATTAAACACTATGAAATCTGTTGAATAAAGACTATTCTTTTTTATAGGCCGCTGTTCCTGCTTAGCCACAGTATTAGTCTTTTGATTCTCATTGGTGGTTGTGATCTTAGGAGGCCTTCCCAATCTTCTTAGTGGTTTCATAGCTGCGAGTCTTTCTTTACTGGATTGTTTAACATGCAATGTGACATGAGGGACAAAAGTTTCTTTAGAATTAAAGTTCTTTGCACATATGGGGCAACTGTAAATTCCATCTTTGTAATGTTTCTGGGCATGTCGTACTATTCTATGACCAAGGAATTCCTTGTCACATAGCACGCAATATTGCATGTAGGCTTGCCAGTTCCTAAACCTAGCAGATATAAATCCCCTCTCTCTTAATTGTTTTATCTCTTTCTTCTTCTGCTTTTCATCACCACTGTCTGTAAGAAGACCAGAATTAGCACCAATTCCACCAGCAAGTCCATTCACAGAAGTTTCTTTAATCTCTTCCTGGTAATCTACTACTTTTTCATATACTTCACTGTCATTGAGTTCATCGATTGAAGACACAATGGATGCTTCTTCTCCCATTAATGCAAGACACTGTCGTTTTAAGGTTTTCCAATCCCAGAATTCTGGATCAAAGGGCCACTGAGTTTTCAATACAAGTAAGAGCTCACAGCGTAGAGAATTTGGTATTGGAAGATTTTCTTCATCATATTTCTGATCAGGCTGGTTATACAACATTTCCACAGCATAATATGCATCTACCGTAGGCTCAATAAGAAATTCACTCAGTTGACAAGCACGTTTTACTTCCAGATCATCAGGCAACAAACATGAAATGGTCTTGCAAATAGATATTTTCACTTCAGTATTTTCTGTAGATTCCAAACGAAGAGCTTTTACACACAGTTCTATACAGGTAGCAAGTCCAGCCCCTTCAGTCTGTGAAAAAGCAAACAATAAATGTTAACTTAATCCACACAAATCAACATGGATTTGTGAACTTAGTTTTTAAGATCAAAATTTTCTTCTCAAATCTTGCAATAGCAACATACGAAAAAATGTCCCTTCTAAAGCACTGCAGTTTTCTGGTTATGTGTGTTTATATAAAATGTGTCATGGAGAATAAGAGAAAAATGTAAGTATTTTAATGTGAGAAAAGGTCTGGGTATAAAATGATCTAATAACTAGGCAAATTTGGACGTTATTTAGCTTCTCTGACCTTTCCTGTCCCATTTATGTAACAATTTAAAACAATACTTAGGGACCAGCAGTTAGTGTAATGGCTATGTTGCTGGACTCCCATGTAGTCGACCACAGTTCCAGTTCCAGACCAGTGGCTTACACTCATGCTGGGCATGTGTGTGTGCATGCCCAAGATCCCGAGAGGAGAATGGAGGAGAAAGGACTGCAGCGTGGCCATCCCCCCTGGGGGGTGAGTTCTCAGTCTCTCAGTCTTTCTGGAGAGCGTGCGAGCCCTATAGCAAAAACCTCTCAAAAACAAACAAATAAACAAACAAAAAACCAAAACCAAAAAACAAACAAACAAAACCCCCAAAACCAGCACCTAAACTTCATAAAATTGCTGTGAGCACTGAAGGAGGTTAAGTATCTAAAGTGCTTTGTAATAGTTTAGTATAATGTCCAGCACATAGTAAATAATCAATAAATGCCATCTTTATCATAAATCTTACCTAATTCTTCTATGACATAATCCTTTAATCCAATTAAAACACTGAAAATGTCCCATATTTCTAAGTTATTTGTAATGACATAAGTATTTTACCTCTAATAAAATAAAGTAGTTGATCTTTAATAGTGTTTTGTTTTTTTTTTTTAATGCTATCTTAAAACTGAATGATACGTCACCAATCTCATGACTGGATCAGCTTAAGAATCAGGAATGGGAAACAGTAGATGGTATAGCAGTTATATTGCTGGACTCCCACGTAGTCAACGGTGGTTTGAGTCCTAGACTTGGTGGCCTGAAACTCAAGTCATGTGTGTGTGCATGCATGCCCCAAATCTCAAAAGAACAGAGAAGAAGGGAATGCAGTGTGGCCTTCCTCCTTTGGGGGTGATTTCTCACTTTCTGTCTCTCTGGTGGGCATACATGCCCTATAGCAAAACAAAACAAAACAAATCTCTCTTAAAAAAGAAAAAAAAAAAAGAATCAGGAGTAGGAGGAGATATAAACTCTTTTGTTTTAAATTGGCATCACAAACTATTACTGTTAGATAGCAGCAATGAAGGTAAGAATCACTTGAGGGACCAGTAGATGGCACAGTGGTTTCATCAATGGGCTCCCATGTAGCTGAACGTGGTTCAAGTCCCAGATCTGGCATCTTAAAATTCACACTGGCCACATGTGCATGCATGCCCAAAATCCTGAGAGGAGAACAGAGGAGAAAGGACTGCGATGTGGCCACCCTCCCTGAAGGATGACTTCTCACTTTCTGTCTGTCTAAAGCACACGCCCTATATCAGAAATTCCTTCTCCCCCCAAAAAGAGGAGTCACTTGAAAGCTATTTGTAGAGAGGAGAAAAAAATGGGGTTTCAAGGCTAAAAGGACACACTGATAATGTGAGGAAAAAGCCAGCCACAGATGCAAGCACATTCACTGGAGTGGAGTATGTATGATACAGGCTCAAAATACAAGGAGAAAAAGTAAAACTAAAAACTGATACTGTCTATTTTCATAAATCAAGGAAACAAAATGTTTTACTAAGACAGAAGCTTAGATTGATGGGGAAATAAGAGGGAGAGAGAGATTCGGGGGGGGGCTTGATAGTGAACTGGTCTTGATTTTAGGAAAGGCAAAAAGGAACAATAATGATGATAATGGATACAAAGAACAGATACAGAGACCTACTTAAAAGTGACAGGAAAGAAAGACAGGACTACTGGCAAAGAGGTGAGACCATATTGTGTGTCTAGCTTTCACATAAACTTATATAGTTATTGTATACTATTTCAAGATAGGTCTGAGACATTAAACTTTAACAGTAAAACATCTGCATCTCTGTTATATGTCTGTTTTCTGTGCTGCTGCAATCCTAGCTACTTGGGCGGCTGTGGTAGGGGGATCACAGCATGGCAAGATCCTGTTGAAAATAATGCACCCCCTTCATCTCATACTTTTTTTCTACAGTTATAAAATACAACTATTTTTAAAAGGGACTCTTCACTGACATTTCTATTTTAATCCAGTCTGCTACTGAATTCAAAGTTCATTTTGACTCATTAAGAGCAATAGCTTTAGTAAATTTGCATTAAAAACATCTTAATGTTGGGGCTAGCCTGTGACATGGTAGGTAAGGTGGCAGGATCCCACATGGGTCACTAAGTAGTTCCAAGTCTTACACCAGAAAGGTTACCAAATATGCCAAGCGGTGTGCCCGAGTACCCAATATCCTGAGAGGAGAATGGAAAAGAAGAGAATACAGCATGGCCATTCCCCCAGGAGGGTGTTTTCTCATCCCCCAACCCTACCCCTCTGTCTCTTTTTTGCAAGTGCACATGCTCTACAGCAAAACTAAGAAAAAAAAATCTTAATATTATAACTAAATATGAAACCTTAACAAACAATACCCATAGAAATTATTATGAAATTTTTACTCTGGGCCTGTCCTGTAGCCTAGTGGTTAAGGGAGCTGGAGTCAATGTGGCTGACTGCAGTTCTAGTCCCAGCTCTTGTGGCTTGAGAAACATGCCCAACCTGTGTGCATGCATGTCCAAAATCACAACATAATGGAGAAACGGAGTAGAAGGGATTGCAGTGTGACTATGTCCCACTGGCAGGTGCTTTCTCCCCACTCTCTCTGTCTCTGGAAAGAGCATGTGCCCTCTGACAATTGAAAAAAAAAACATACTTCTAAGTTTTCACTTCTGTCTGTGTGTACTTAAAAGCTGGTTATATAGCAAGAATATTTTTAAAACTGAGTTTGAATTTACTATTGTCCATTAATACAATACAGTTACAAAAATACAGTTACTATTGTCCATTAATAAAACACAGTTAACAAGTGATTAGCCCATAAAATCTACTTAATTCATAACATCAGCTAATAAATGTACTGACAGCACCAGCTTGATCTATATGAACAGAAAGTTAAGAAATAGTAATTCCAAGGAGGAACGAGACTCTAGTGCCCTATATGGCACTAGAACAGCACTAATGAGCTTGGGAAAAAAGCGAGGTTTGCCTTGGGTGCCTCTTCCATAGCCTTTTCTGTCCCTTTCCTTTGGTTGCCTAGTATTCTTGACCTAATGTTACCCAGCTTTCCATATTGATTTTAGTTCCCTATGTGATGTCCCATTGAGCACTTCCCTACCCACTCAGACCAATACGCCTTTACCTGCTTTAAAATATTTTAAGTGGTCACCTATGTATTTCAGAATTATATATAAACTTCTTGGGGTAAAATACAAAAGGGCCCTCAACAATGGGACCTCTGCTTTCTCTGTTCTAGCCTCCTTTACTATCTTCCCCACCACCCAAAGAGAAAACTGAGCGACCTGTAGTTTTCCACATATTCCTTCCTCTTATTTGTCTTGATAGCACTTTACGTGCTTTTCCTGTGACTAGAAACCCTCTTTCCTTCCTCTGTTCCGAGGAACGCGCTTTCCTTCCTCTCTGTTGGTGGTCACTGTTGAAGTATCAAAACAGACAAGTGAGTTAGATGGCCCACTTCTTTGATTCATTCATTACTTACTTTATAACACTGTGCTAAGCACTGCGCTCTCGCAGGAGTCCAAAATTCCATTAAAATAGATCCATATTATATTGCAATTGTTTGTCTCCAGAGACTAGGATATCCATAAAGGGAGGGCTATATTTTTCACCTCTTTTAACTTCAAGGTGGTCTAGGAAAAAGTATACTACATGAATGAAAAAGCACTAGGCCCTAGCAAGTGGCATGGTGGTTAAGGTGCTGGACTACCAGATGGCTGACTTTGGTTCAAGTACCAGATATGAAGCTTAGAAATCATGCCGGACACATATACGTACATGCCCCAAGTCTCAGAAGGAGAATGGAGGAGGAGGGATTGCCATTCCCCCTGGGGGGGGGGGGCGATTTCTCACTGTCTCTCTCTTTCTCTCCCTCATGTGTCCTATAGCAAAAACCTTTAAAGAAATGCACTAAGCTATATGCTTAAAATCCTTTGCTGACTCAATTAGGATTTAAGAAAAAACCTAATTATTTAAAATTATTAAGTGAGTGATTGCCTGATAATCTTCAACAAAAACTGGAGTTAAAAAAAAAAAAGAGGACTACCAGTTAACCCAAATAGGTAATAACCTGAGTTTAAAATTTCATTAACTAGAACACAAAGAGAGTTATACTAGAACCTAGCCTCTACAGCTTAACTTAGGTTTCTTCAACCCAAAAACAATAGTAATAGATGATTCTAGTTTTAAGACAAACTTTTCCTGCTCAGTAAGATTTCGGACAGTGAAAAACAAAGGAAAAAAGTTTATGTAATGAGTAAAAAGATTTTGGAGGCAAAGAGCAATTACCACGGTATACACTATCCCTGTCAAGGAGTCTGCAGCCTTGGCCAGCTTTCTCAGCTATTCATACATTTCATTATTTTTTCTACTTCTGAACCCAAAGTCACTCTAGAAAAATGCTACCAAACGTAAGACTTCCCGATGATGAGAAATGTTCTATATTTGTGCTGTCCAATGGGGCAGCCAAGACACATGGAGCTATTAAGCACCTAAAATGTGGCTACCATAGGGACAGCACAGCACTTGTCCAAGCTCTCCTCCCTATCCCACCGTCTCTTTATGAATGGAACGTAAGGCTGAAGAAAGATAGTCAACTCTACAATACCTAACCTCCTTGATTCATTTGATTAAGAAATGAAGTCCAGATTGGTTCACGGCAAGATTTGTATCCAGTATGTCTGATTTCTAGTCCTAAGTTTGTCAAGGTGCTTGTTAAGTTATATGCTAAGCAGTATTGCAATGTATATTTTTAAATTGCGCAATAATTTCCTTAAGAAACTTATTGTTGCCCTTTTTCAGTTAAATTTTTAACTACAGCAACACAGTATATAAAACGAAAAATCAGGATCAATTAACAATATTTTTAAATGAAAAACTGGCAAGTAGGATTCATTCCTGTTCTTTACTACTGAAAATAGAAAAATAATATTTCAGTAGGGACAAATGAAGATAAGCTAAGACTGACCAACTGCAATTTTTTTTTTTTTAAAGAGATTTTTGGTATAGTGCATGTGCGTCCGCCAGAAAGACAGAGAGGGAGGAAACGAGAAATCATCCCCTCCAAGCAGAATGGCCATGCCATCTCCTATTCCTTCTCCTCCATTCTCCTATCAGGATTTTGGGCATGCACACATATGCACCCAGTATGAGTTTTAAGCCTCTGGGTCCAAACTCAAATAGTGGTCAGCCATGCAGGAGTCCAGCAACATAACCATTATGCCACCTCCTGGTCCTCCAACTGTAGGGTTTTTTTGTTTGGTTGGTTTTTGGAGAAGTTTTTTGCTATAGGGTGCATGCGCTCGCCAGAAAGTCAGAGAGAGACAGAGACAGAAAGTGAGCAATCACCCTCTAGGAGGGATGGGCACACCGCCTTCCCTTCTCCTCCATTCTCCTCTCAGGATCTTGGGCATGCATGCACACATGCCCAGCATGAGTTTAAGTCACCGGGTCCAGGACTTGAACCGTGGTCAACTACATGGGAGTCCAGCAACATAGTCATTACGCTAACTGCTGGTCCTACAACTGCAGGTTTTAAAGGCAGAATAGGATAGTGTCTTCTGATTCTTTCCTTCAAGAAAAGTTATACATTAGTGTAAAAACACTTCTAGTCATGCTGCATCCTAGCTTTTTAACATTATTATTATTTTTTAAGGTTTAGTTATTTCTTCAGAAAGAAAGGGGCAGAAGATATACCCAACAGGGTCCTCACCCACTCTGGGCTGGCCTGGATCATGAGCACAAACATGTATGCCCAGCAGGGCCAGGGAGGTGCTGGGATAGGAATCCAGGACCTTCTTTCCACGTGGTTTCTATTGCATTACCGCTGCACCAATACTTGGCCTCACATCCCAGTTTTTAGTGTCTATGTAAAGGTAGCAGCTTTGGAAGCTGTCTTCTGTACACATTTAAATAGAGATCGCTGCATTTTTTACAAGAGTTGTGATAAGTAATTCAATAACTCTTAAAAAACCTACAATTCGATGGCCACCCAGTGACGCTATGGATGACCACACAGTTTGAGTTCCAGACCTGACAGCCTGAAAAACATGCCAGGCATGCACAAGCATACCCCAAATCCCGAGAGAAACAGAAAAGACTGTGGTATGGCCACTCTCCAAGGGGGGTACTTTCTCACCCTGCCCCCTGTCCTAGTTTATCCAGCAAGTTCCTGTGCACTCTAGCAACTAAAAAAGAAACAAAACTTAATATTTTGATTTACTTAAATAACTGGAAGCACATATGCAACCTCTGCTCAATTCTCTCTCCAGTTTGGTTTAACCAGTATAATCCATCACTTAAATTTTTTATTTCAAAAATTAATTTTGTTTTTCATCCATCACTTAAAAATTTTATTTCAAAAATTACATTTTGTTTCTTAAATTTCCAAAAGTTTTGTTTTTGAGCTCTTAAATATCTGCTTGGTCATTATAATAGTGTCTTTCTGTCTCATGCTTTAATTCCTTATTTTGTCTTTAAATATATGTATCTTATAGATTTACCTATACTTATATTACTTAAAGTGTTAGGCAAATAATCCTATTGTCACTTGCTGAAATTCACTTATGTCAGACTGTTTCAGATCTTTTATAAATCTTGATGGTTAGCTCAATTTCTATCTTTAAATATACATGATTCATAGGTTTTATATCTGCATATTTAATCTTATTATTCTTTCTGTCTTCTAATAGTCCCTCATGGCAGACTTTTGTGTTTTGTAAATCTTGATGGTGAACTTATCTTCAGCAGGGCTTATGAAGACCCTGTATTAATGCGTGTCCCTATGGAGCAGTTCTGCATTTGCTTCTGTAGCTACCTCAGGTATTACTGATCTAGGACTCCATCCTTACCTTTTAAACCTGACTTCCTTGTCATGGGGATTTCTGAATCAGGAATTCCTAGCTAGGGTAAATTTGGCAGATCTATGTTTTTTGTTTTTTGAAAATAATTTTTCATTTAACTTTATTTATTATTATCATTTTAATTTGACGAGAGAGAAAGAGAGTGAGAGAGAGGGAGGGTGGGAAGGAGGGAAAGTGAGAAAGCAAACTGCCAGGTTCAAGACTTGAGCCATGGTTGCCATGTGGGAATCCAGCGCCCTTAACAACCATTGCACCTGCCGGCCGGCCGCCCCCCCCCCCCCCCACCCCC